ATCAGACCCGGAACCCGTCAATCTCTCCACTGCCGCCTTTCCTTCGACTGGAGAGACGGGCAGTGTGTGTGTGTGTCCCCCTTTGGGGGGCTAAGCGGCTGCTTAACGTCTTTGCTTCTGCTCTTATTTCACAGGGGCTTGGGGGGGGCAGCTCGGGTGGGGGTCCCGTTGGGGGGGGGACCTCCATCCATTCGTCCTTTTCTTCCCCAGGCCCCAAGCTGAGCGGGGTGGAGTGCTTGGAGGGCATGGCTGCCGGCTTGTACGAGGAAGTATTTGCGGCCGGGGTGATGCTGGTCAACTGGGGGGCACCCCTTTGGCACCCAAGATGGGGGAGGGGGCAATAATCCACTCAAGGGGTGGGATGCCTGAGTCCCAATGAGCCGCTCTGAATTGAAGACATTACATTCAAATCAATAAAAATGAAGGTGAAGAAGCCACGTAAACGATAGGAGACAAATGACGGACAGGCCAGTCAGGAGAGACTTTTCTCCCCCCCCCCCCCCCCCCACGAGGCCCCTTTCTGGGGAAGATGGGCGTCTAGGGGGTGGGGACTGTGCCACAGGCAGGTGTGGGGAAGGGGGGCTGCAGGGGATTTGGGGAGGGGGATGCTGCTTATTAATAACGGATGTGACTTTGTGGGATTCAGGCGAAGGTCACCATTGTGCTCAGAGTGTGGCTGGGAAAAAGCAAGCAGACACCCCCCAATCCCCTGCAGGGGTTGAGGGTTGGACCTTGAGGGGCCCAGAAACGGGGTGTAACGGGGGGGGGCTTCTCCCCCCTTGCAGGTCCTTCTCCTCCAGCCAGCTCTCCATGGCCTCCCTGATGGTGGTGGACACCCCTGGCTTCCTCAGCCCCCGGCACCAGCAGAGAGAGCGGGCGGCCACCTTTGAGGAGTTCTGCCACAACTACGGGCAGGAGCGCCTGCAGGGCCTCTTCTACAAGACCACCCTGGAGTCTGAAGTGGGCAGATACCGGGAGGTGAGCCCCCCACCCACCCAAACGCTTCCTTGGCTGTCCCGCTTTGCTCCCAGGAGGGTCGCCCAGGGCGGGGCCGGGGGGAGGATCTCCGGCAGAGGCCCAGCCCCTCCCACCTGCTCTGGGGCTTGCTGGACAATGGCCTCACTGCTGTCCCCTGGGGTCACGGAGGGTTCTGGGGAAAGGCCGTGGAGACGGTTGGGGGGGGGGCCTTTAGCTCATGAACCTCCCGAGCCTCAGGAAAAGGGGGGGGCAGTGGGGCAGAGCAGAAAAGGAGGGGGGGCTTTCCCCATCCACTCCCCTGCGAGGCCCAACCTCCCCTCCCTCTTTCCCAGGAAAACGTTGAGGTGCCTTTTCTTCTGCCTGAACTCTCTCCAGCCGCCACAGTTGCCCTTGTGGACCAGAGCCCGTCCCAGGTAATTTGGAGGCTGGCGTGGGGGGTGGGGGTTGCAGCTTGCCGAGGGTCTGTTGGCAGGGCAAAGCTTTCCTGAGGGCAAGAGCTGGCACGAAGCACGAGAGGCGGGTGAGATAAAACCCACCGAGAGAAACGCATCTGGGGGGGAAGCTCTGGGCCTTTGCCCCCAAGGACGCCAGTCCAGCTAGGCAGAAGCCACCCACTCAGAACGGGGGCCCCCGGGTGCCCTTCCCTGCCTCGCCCAGGCGTTCTGTGCTGTGAGAGGGCGCCAGGGGTCTTCTTCCAAGGGGCGCCACCCACTCGGATGCAAACCGTAGAAGGCTGGCATCGACTGGCATGCCTCCGGTCTGCATCGCTCTGCTTGACCTGCTCTGGGGGGGCCCATCCTGATCGGAGGAGGAGGAGGAGGAGGAGGAGGAGGAGGAGGTAGCCCCCCCCTCCGTGGCCACAACTGAGGCAGGGAGTGAGGGGACAGACTTTCCCCCTTTCCGTGAGAAAATTATTGGGAGGGGACAAATTGCTTCCCAGCCTTCAGCTGGGAAAGTGCAGTTTGCCAGGAGGAAAACGGAATCTTTCCTATACAGATGGAAAGATATAATAATACATATGCAGCCACCAATAAATGAGTGTTTATTAGGATGAGTCATAATTAGTGATTAATAAACCACAGGACATTTGCTTGAAACCTCGGACAGGAGAGCCGGGGGGGGGGGGAGGGATACCGGTGTGTGTGTGTGTGTTGATGCCACGTGGCTGAAGCCAGTCTGTCCCCCTTTAGATGCTCCTCTCTTCCGGGGGGCCCTCAGAGGACCCCCAGGGCCTGCTCTGGATCCTGGAGGAGGAGGCCCTGGTGCAGGGCTCCAGTGACAGCCGAGCCCTCGACCGCCTGTGCTCGGCCTTCGGGAAGGAAGGTAAGGCCGGAGGGGAGAGCTTGGGCAATGCCAGCTGCATTGGGAAGAGCAAAAGGGGTATCTTCCCTTCGTCAGAGGCGGCCCTGGCTCGGGAGCTGGGCTCTCGCTCTGCCCACCAAAGGAAGGGGCAGCCTTGCCCTCCGGATGCCCCAGAGAAGGGCGGCTTTGGGCCTCCTTCAATGGCACGCCACGTATGTGCTGCCCACTTGGTGCCCAAGAGGGCCGTAGAACATCTTGGCCCCTTCATCCTCCCCTCCCCCCCCCAGCAGAGCAGCCAAGCTTTACTCTGCCTCTCTGCTGCAGAGCCGGGGGTCCTGCGCAGGTGTGAGCAGCCCCTGCAGTTCGAGGTTGCCCACCGGCTGGGCAAGGACCCCGTCCGCTACGATGCCACCGGCTGGGTGGGCAAGGCCAAGTGGAACCTCTCTGTGCAAAACGCCATCCAGCTCCTGCAGCAGTCCAAGATGTGAGTGGGGGGCGGGAGG